CAGACAGGCACAGATGTTCAGGAGGTAGTGGGAAATTGAGGACCAGAACTCAGGGGAGAGGGTAAGAATGGAGATAGAGATTTGGAAGTCATTGGAGCTTTGGGAGTAGTTGAGATCACCAATGGAGAGAGTAGAGAGAAGAGAAAAGGTCTAAGAACAGAACCTTGGAGAACACCCACATTTAAGAAGGAGAGAGATAGAGAGGCCCTGCCAGGTAGATGGGAGAACCACAGGAATGCCAAGTCATGGAAACCAAGGGAGAAAGAGGAGAGGGACAAGGAAGTTAAAAAAGAGAGAGGGAGGTCAAGAGTGCTTTTTGTAGATATGGGGAACCATGGTTGTAGAATACCACATATAGTTTCAGGTTTTTTGGATGTTGGCTAATTTTACTGAACTCTCCCCTCTTTTTTTCATTCTTCATTAAAATGGCTCTCCGAGAGGTGAACACAACCAGCAAAGGGACCCTGCCTATTAGTCACCTATAATCACCCAACTTTCTATTGATACATTAGGAAATTTTAGGTGATGCAAAAACAAGACATAGAAACAAACTTTTTTTTTTTTTTGTTAAAGAAGAAGGCTATGTTAAATGCTGCAGAGAGTTCGGAAACGATGGGACAGGTCCAGGTTTGATGGGGAGGGACCCCATTCAATTTAGTATCAAGGAAGCCATTAATTATCTTGAACAGCAAACTTTCTTCCATCAGTGAAGACGGCAACTGCACAACAAGGTATTGAGGAGGGAGGGAGCATGGGATCAGGAAACCGAGGAAACCAACTAGGTTACAGTTTCTAGGAGTGTGGCAGTGATGGGAAGGAGGGACATAAAACAATGACCTGAGGAAGTGGTAGGCTCAAGCGTAAGGTTCAGTGATTGGAGATTTGTGTTTGCTTGTTTGTTTATGTGTTTTTGTTTTGTATTTGATTTTAGAACAAGGAAGACCTAAGAATGCTTGTAGACTGAGGGGAAGGAGCCATAGTGAAAGATACTGAAGAAGAGAAAAAGAGAAAGGATGATTGATGGAGCACAGACCTGGAGCAGACAGGAGGAGATGATTCGAATCCAAGGTGAGGGGGAGGGGATTTAGCTTTTTTAATTTTTTTATTTTCTTTCTTTCAAGAAGGAAAGCCACCTTATCCTCTGAGATGACGAAAACAGAAGAGGATGGGTGAGGGCATTGAGAGATTCAGAGGAGAGAAAGATGGGAATTGAGGGAGTCCATGTAGGATGGTCTCAATTTTCTCATTAAAGTGGCTAACAAAGGCACTGCTCAGAGTGAGGAGAAGGGAGTAAAACGGGCATCTGAGATGAGAAGTTTGGAATGACTGCCGTGGAGAATATGACGGGGATTTTATAAACGATGAATAAAAGGATTGCCATGCAGGGGTGAGGGCCTAACAGAGAGAAAAGACTCAAATTCCTAATGGATCTGTCAGCATGATTTAGTGACTTCCTCCAGCAGTACTTAGCCGGAGCCATGTGGGACTGAAGGTTAGCAGTATATAGAAATTGCAGAATAGGAAGGAGATAAATTACTCAAGGAAAGAGGGCAGGAGAATTATTAAAGTGGCTGTCCTTAGGGTCAAGGCTGGGGAGGAGAGGGGGAGCTGAAGCCAGAACAGGATTGATGGGGAGAACAGGGAGGAACAGGATTATGAGAGTGAAGAATACGTGTGGGAGAAGTAAAGGCTAGAGAGAGGTGGGAAGGACAAAAAAGAATGGTCAATGAGAGAACTTCAGAGTTCAGCATCCCTTCAGTTCCAAGGGGAACAAGTAAGAAAGTGTGGCTGGTTCAATACAAGCCCCTCACCAGTCTAGGTGGGATAACTCAACTTGTAGGTCCATGTGGACAGTTCATTCCCTTAGAGGGGAAATAAGGGCTATGGGCTTTGTTGGGATCATGTCCCTCTTTTCCTATTAAGAATCCATTCATTCACAAAGACAGTGAACTGAATATCAACTTGGGTAAGCTAAATCCCATCTTCCCCTCACCAAAATGGCAAGAGAATTTTATCATAAGAAGGAGACTCAGAGGGAATATACTCCAACCTGTCCCTGAAGCATGAATTCCCCCCACAGTAGCCTGACGAGTGGTCATCCAGTGTCTACTTGAACACCTCCAGTGATGGAAACCTCACTCATTACTTAGTTTTCCTCTTCTTAATTTTGTAGCTTAGATGGTGCAGTGGATAAAGCTCCTGCCTTGGAGTCAGGAGGACCTGAGTTCAAATCCGGCCTCAGAGACTTGACACTTACTAGGTACGTGACCTTGGGCGAGTCACTTAACCCTGATGCCTCAACAAAAAAAGAGACTGAATGGGCGCATATCTTGGAACCAGATGGTCCCTTACTTCTGAAGACTTAGCAAAATGCAACCTGTGGCTCAGAGCTCCCCAGAGCCCTTTGAGGGCTCACAGGATCCAAGAATGACCTGGAGGGTTTACCCAAGAACGATATCTTTTTTTTTTTCCTTTGGTGAAGCAATTGAGATTAAGTGACTTGCCTAGGGTCACACATCCTTTTTTTGACTTGTTATACCTCCACCTAGAGTTTACTCTGAGAAATCTCTAAATATAGCTTAGGTATAGCTTGTGTCTAGTTTCCCTGAATGTGGCTGAGGGTCCCCAAGGATGAGCATCCAAGGCAATAAATGCATATTAGGTAGGAAAACCTTTATTTCACTCCACAAAAAAACCAACCAACCAAAGGACTCACAGGAATCTATGGATATACCCACAAAACACTCATAATAGAGTACCCTTACTGATAGTAGGGTACCCTTATTGATTGATATTGATTGTATTTTTCTTTTAAATAACTTTTATTTGTGCCTTCTAAAAATACCAGGCTTGATCTCCTCTATTTATTCTTGGTTCAATCTGGCTGTTTTCCCTATCTTTGTTCTCTTTAGTGCCATTTCTATGTCTTCTACCAGCACCTCAGGGACTGTGATGTTAGGATTCCAAGAATGTGGTTCCACTAAACTCAATGGAGGAAACAGCTTATTGACATGGTTTTTAGCAAATTGTTTCCATTTTTCTTCTGTTTGTAGTCCTCTTTCTATTCTCAAATGTCCTTGGAATGACTTTGCTTAGTTGGATATCTTGCCAAGATTTCTCTAAACTGGATTTACCCTCCAGCACTTTGGGTGGACCTCCTGTGGCTAACTTTTGAGGAGAAGCTGGACAAGTGGCATTAGGATAGGTAGGCATGAGCGGGTTGGGATTTGCATTGCCAGAGGGGACTCCTGAACTGAGATCACAGATACATTTGAGTATTCAAACATTTGCCAATATGTCACTCTTCCCCTCCCCCAATCTTTCCTTATAATAAAGTCAAATATGACGAAAACCCAACTAACAAAGGACTACTACAGAGGGAAGGAATGTATGCTTCCTTTTCTACAAGACAGATTGATTTCAGTTTTTCTGAGTTTTTTTGTCCCATTTTAGTTATTTTCATTGATGTCAAGGCGGCCAGTGTGTATCTTTTCTAGTTCTACTCTCTTTGCTTAGCATCAGTTCATATGAGTCCATACTCAAACACTTGAATGGACTTGTGATCTCATAGAGACTCTGGATAGTCTCACAATGCAGATCACTAAGTACCTATGGCTGCCCATGCCCTTGACTCCCGTCTAGGCCCTCCCATAAGTTCACCAATGGGGCTGCCCACTGGTCTAGAAGTCTTCCTGGCTTTCTCCTGACATTGTGAGAATACCAGTGGAACACCGTGCCATTCACTTTTATCCCTCAGCCTAGCCACATACAGGGGATAGATATCCTTCACTCTTGTTTTCTTTGAAGTTCTTTGTTATAGACTTAAGCCTGTTCACACCCATTATGTGCTTCTCCATTGTCCTCTTCAAGATATTCATTTTCAGGCCTGTGTGTGTGACACTCTGATATTCCCTGCTGAAGGAAGCTGAGGCTGGTGGATTGTTTGAGCTTGGGAGTTTTGAGCTGCAGTAGCATGAAGGCCAATTGGATGCCCACATGAAATCTGGCACCAATATAGAGTGAGTACCCAGGAGAAAGTGGCCACTAGGCTGGTAAGCTACCAATCTGCCTAAGGAGGGGCCAACCAGAAATAGAGTGAGTCAAAGCTTCCCTGCCCATCAGAAGTGGGACTGGGCCCGTGAGGGACAGCTGCACTTTCAGTCTGGGTGAGACAGGAGACAGTCTCAAAACAAACAAACTCATTTTCAATTGTAAGGAGATAGGTTTTTATGTCTCACAGCTATATAATCATCACACATGTAATCAAAACCAGGTCCACTGACTCCAAGTCCAGTGTTCTTTCCACAAAACCATGCTCTATTTTAGTGTGACCCTGGGCAAGTCATTTAACATCGCTGGGCCTCAGCCCCCTCTGTAAAATTAGGGTGTTGCCCAGGATGATGCCCAAGGCGCCTTTTGGGTGTAGATCCTATGAACTCTGCCCAGCTTTTGAACCAGAAGGTTGGGAAGATCCATTCTCCTTAGCCATCTCAGATTTACCACAACTGAAGCTGCGAAAGAAATTTATTGGAATAATGAATTCCATGCATATTCTACCTACTGTATAAAGAAATCCGCAGAATGGAGGCTGGAAAGGACCTCAGAGGGCATCTCCTCCAACCTGCACCTAAACAACAATGCTCTCCACGGCATGGACTCTGAGAGGGTCACTCAAGTTCAGGGCGTGGTGCCAAGGTGTCTTGGCTCCATCCATCTCATCAGCATTTGCCATTTCAGCCTTATCTGGCTGGTCAAGCAGAGGGAGCTCTTAATTGGTCGCGGGGTTGGGGGTGGGGTGGGAGAGGAAGGTGGTACCCCCTCCTCCCCTTCAGGGGAGGGATAGGGTGTTCAGATTGGGTAGTGTGGAGCCGAAGGGTGGAGCCTGAGCTGGGAGGGGTAGGGTGTGGAAAGGCGGAAGGAGGGGCGTGTGTAAGGGAGTGGGAATGGGGCCAGGATCCGGACCAGCCCTTCACTTTCTCCTGCACCCCAGTGCAGTCTCCTTACCTGACGTTCCCCATACAACCAAGGAAGTGATGAGGAGGCATCGGTGTAGAGGAAAGAATACTGAAATAAGAGACAGGGAGCCTGGTTCTAACTCTGACTCTCCACTAACTTGCCAAGTGACCTTGGGCAAGTCTTTCCCAGGTCTGTGCCACGGTTTTCTGTAAAATGAGGCGGGTTTTGGGTTTTGTTTTGTTTTGTTTTTACCCAAAAGGACCCCTTAGAGATGATCTCTTGGGTACCTTCCGGCTCTATGAGTCTATGAATCAGTGTGGACTCAACCTCCCTGCTGAGGCGCCCCTAGCCCAGAGTCCCTTCCTCCACATTCCCCACCCACCCGGGCCAGGCAGCCCCCGGGTAGGGCTGGCTGACCAGTCCAGGACCGCTTTTCTCCGCCCTCTGGGCCCGAGGCCAAGGCTGAGAGCCAAGTGGGCGCGCCGCCGGGGGAGGGGAGCACCGGAGGGATCCGATGTCTTGGGCTGCAAGCTGGTATTGCAGCTGGCGGCGAGGCGAGGCACTGGCCGGGATATTAATAACCCGGGGCTGCAGCTTTCCATGAGACCCTCCCAGCCATGGCCAGCGCGGAGGAGCCCCGGGAGGGCGGCCCCTGCGGGGAAGGAGCCGGAGCCTCTGGGTTGGAGAGGTAGGACTGGCCCGTGGAGGGGTCTGCAGCGCTCGCCCTGCCCCTCCCGGCTTTGGGGACAGGTCGGCGGGATTGAGCCTGGGGCTAGGGAAGGGACCTTCCGCAACCTACCGGCTTCTCCCAAACTTCTTCCCGTCCCTTCGCCCTTTGTCCACATGACCCCCGCCCCACGCCACCCCAGGATCCTCACCCGATCCGTTAAAGTGTCAGGCCCCGCCCAGAACGTGGGGATGAGCAGAGCTGGACTGCAGGGCTCCCCGGCGCCTTTCTTCGGGGTGGGGGCCGAGAAATCCAGAAAACTCAAGTAAGGGCAGGGGCGCCCAGCCCAACCTAGCCCAGACATCTCTGTGTGAGCGTGTGTATTTGGAAAATTTATTTCTCTTGTGCTATTTTGGGGGGACCTTTCCCCAAAAAGGGAGTCAATCCTTTCTAATAGGTATGAATCATCAAATACAGTGAATGCAGGAATGCCAAATACCCGGTCTCATTGTCTTCAAGGGTCTTCCCCATTCTCCCCACCCCCCACTCTTCCAACAAAAAAAGTAGTGACCCCAGAGCCCTGAGTTATTGAATTCCACTATTCTCCTGCACCTGGCCTCTTGGTCCTTGGCCAATGTCAAAAGGGTGGGTGTGGAGGAATCACACAGATTGTTGCATCTTCACACAGTTTGTTGCTTTTGGGGGCCCAAGGATCTTTGCCTTGGGGGTGGGAAACCATAGAGGAGAGAACCTGGTCCCTACCTGTGGAAAGGGAGCTTCAGAGAGAAGGTTTTAACTGCTCACTTCCCTTCACTCTTGTCAGCCAGCCAAAGCTCCAGGAGGGCATGGCCCTGAGAGGTGAGGATTGAGTGGATTGGGTGGCCTGACTTTCCCATGGGCTAAAAGATGAAGTTGCACATACATACCTGCATACAATCTTCCCCCCCCCATACCCCTCACCAAGACACACACACACACACACACACACACACACACACACACACACACAGTCATAGAATGAGGGTAGAAAATCCCCTAAGGACTAGGCAGGGAAGAGTGAGGCTCCCTTAGAGTTCCAGTTAAACTCTTCTCTATGTCCCAGAAGCCTCCCATAATCCTGCCCCTCCTCCAATGTTGAACCTACTTCTATTAGGGAGAGGAGCAGCTGTGTAAAAAGCTTTTCTGGATCCTCATTTGTACAAGAAGCCAAGTCCTTAAAGGATTCATCCATCCTTCAGACACCCCTGCCAAGTGACAGGAGATTGAATTGAAGAGTTGGAAGCTAATAGAGTTACTTCTCAATTATCTACACCAATGACAAGGGGTAGAACACTTGGGCACATGTAAATTCTAAACAGCAGATAATCCACCAGCCTTTCATGAGGTAGATGGAATGAATCAGTAAGGTGTAGTAGATAAGAGAGCTAGCTTATAAGCCAGGAAGCCCAGCCTCTGACACATTTTGGCTGTGTGACCCTGGGTAAGTCCCTTAACCTCTCAGTGCTCTAGCCTAGACAACTGTCTAAGACTAAAATGTAGTGAAGATGCTATTCCTTCTTTCTGCCAATGAAATTAGAGGGCTTCTCTTTACCTTTCCAATTTCTTGTTGTTGAGTCATTTCAGTTGTGTCTGACTCTTCATGACCTTATTTGGTGTTTTCTTAGCAAAGATATTGGAGTGGTTTCCCATTTCCTTCTCTGGCTTCTTTTACAGATGAGGAAACTGAGGCAAACAGGGTTAAGTGACTTTCCCAGGGTCACACAGCTATTAAGTGTCTAAGGAGATTTGAACTCAGGAAAATGAGTCTTCCTGACTCCAGCTCCAGCGCTCTGTCCACTGTGCCACGAATTTCCCCCTCAATCCTGCATTTATCAAGTGCCCACTCTGCAAAATAATGTGTCTTGAGGTGGGAAATGAAACATTAAAATCAGTTTTAATGATCTTACAGTAGAGCAGGAAAGTTGGGGGAGGGGAGAAATGAGTGAGTAGAGAGAGCCAGCTTGACATAAAGATGCAGCTCAGTCAGCCCACAACATGGATCATTGAGATTTATCTGTTAGAAGGCACAAATGTTTAAAAGAAGGTTTTTTTTCTTCTAAGTCCTGCTCCTTCCTAAACTGCTTTAAGAGTAAACAAAGCAATTCCAAAATATATTCTGTGTCCAGACAACTTTTTCTAAAGTTGAAGTGACCCATTAGGTATACTGAAAGAAGGACAGGGGGGAACCAGCAGACTTGGGATGCAGTTCAGCAGCTGTATGACCAATCAAATCCTTTCTCTTTCCTTAGTTTCTTCATCTGTAAAATGAAGGGGTTGGTCCCTTCCAGTTGTAAGGTCCTGGGAAGCTGCAGGGCTCTCCTGAACAGATCTATCTGAAAAAACCTGTTGGGGTCTCAGTTTGAAGCCTCCTCAGGGCTGCCAAAGGGCAGAGCAAGGGATGCATGGTAGTACCACAGGATTTTGGCCACAATGGTAAGAAACAAGCAGGGCCTTTATAGGAAATTTGGATTGTAGATAGTGAGGACTCACATCCTGGGCACAAATCTTAAGCTTGAATTCATCTTTCCAAGACAGAGGTGTGTTATGGAGCAGTGACTTTGGATTTAGAAGATTTGAATCTAAATCCCAGTTATTTCATTTACTGTGTGACCTCAAGCAAATCATTCCCCCTCCCTAAGCCTCAGTTTCCTAATCTAGAAAATTAGGGCATTGGATTAAGTGCCATTGGGCTCAGAACATTCTATGAAATACTCTGTTGTGGAGGCAGTTCATTTAGATCTTATAGAATTGCAGAGATTCCCAAAGTGGGCAATACTGCCTCCTGAGGTGCTAGCATGATCCAGGTGGTAGTAGCCTCAGGTACAATTGGGGGCCATTGAATAAAAATAAGTGGGCGATGGAAACAAGGAAAGAAGAGAAGAAAATTTTGAAAAACCATTTGTACATGTTTCATCTGTTGTATAACAGAGTTAAAGTCGTAGTGATTACATTATTTTTCAAAAAAACACGAAAAATGCAAGTTATAACTGATCAGTGGTCAAGTCCACCGACAGTCTTAACAAACAAGTGTTAGCAGGTGAGCATGTAGCATTGTTGGGAAGTCCAGTGTACATGGGGCAGCAATATGTGCATGTAATGACTTGCTTACAATACTATAAGGTTCTATGATGCAATATTGTGTCATCAAAATTTGAGTACAGGAAAAAACCCACAAATTAAAAATAAATTATTAAATTTAAGATGCATCACTAAAAAATATTTATATTCTTTTGAAATGATGCAAATTTAAAAAAAATTAAAGGGTTAAGAAAGTAGATTTCGGGGGGGGGACTGAGTAATTTTTTTTTAAAGGAGGTGGTAGGTCAAATAAGTTTGGGAACCTCTGTTATAGAGTCTTTAGAAAGAACACAGGTCCATCCTATATCTTCTTGTCACCTCTCTCTGGTCAGTGTACCCAGACTACACTGGCTATCACAGTTTCCCTGGTGGTTGTTGTACTTTCAGGAAATCACTTTAGGAAGTGAGAGGGAAGGGGGAAGAGAGGGAGAATGTGCGTGCGTGTGTGTGTGTGTGTGTGTGTGTGTGTGTGTGTGTACTTGTAAAAGCCACTAGAGGACCAGGGCTCAGAGTGACATGATCAAAGTCTCAGAAATCACTCTCATACACAAAGTCCCATCCTCACTATGGCTTTCCACAGACCTCAGAATTTTCTTTTGCAGGGATTCAGGGGCAGAGGACAATGCTTCACTCCAACAGAAGAAATCTGAATTCTTACAAGGGGAAGAGGCCCTGAACCCAGAGATGACTCTGTCCCTACACGGGGATATCAACCTAGAGGACATTCTCTACCTTGGAGGCACAGATGATGCTGATGAGGTACTCTATGTAGAAGAGACATTGAACTCAGAAGAGGAAGCTGACCCAGAGGAGCCGCTATATGTAAGAGAGACAGTCACCCCAGAGGAGACACTGCATGTGAAGGAGATATTCAACCCAGAGACACTGAACCAAGAGGAGACAATTACTCCAGAGGAGACATTACATGTGACAGAGAGAGCTGACCCAGAGGAGATACCAAATCCAGAGGAGACCAACGCACAAGGGGAGAAAGGCAGCTCGGAGGAGAAGCCTGCCTCCAAGGAGAGTCTCAGGGTTGAGGACAGCCTGAGTCCAGAGGAGTTGGAGCTGCTGGAGTGCCGTTTCCAGCAATGCATTGAAGCTGTAGCACAGCTGGAGGAGGAGCGCGACCGCCTCATCCACGAGCTAGTGCTGCTTCGGGAACCAGTTCTACAGGAGGTACAGAAGGTCCACCAGGACATCCTGGCTGCCTACAAGCTACATGCCCAGGGAGAGCTGGAGTGCGACGGGCTAAGGGAGGAGATCCGGGTGGTGAAGCAAAAGCTGTTCAAAGTGACAAAAGAATGTGTAGCCTACCAGTACCAGCTGGAGTGCCGGCAGCAGGAAGTCGCCCAGTTTGCCACCTGCCAGGAGGAGCTCACCACTCGTGTTGCCCGACTATCCGAGGAGCTAGCCCAACTCAAAGACACATGTGAGAAACAGAAAGGGCATTTCCGGCAGCAGCTAGAAGCCCCTCGGAGTCAGGGGGATAGCCATTTTCTACAGGAGAGCCGGAGGCTCTCTGCTGAGTTTGAGAGTTTCATGGCAGAAAGCCGCCAGGGCCTAGAAGAAGAGTATGAACCCCAACTGATGAGACTCCTCGAGAGGAAGGATGCTGGGGCAAAGGCATTACAGAAAACACAGGCAGAAATTCAAGCGATGAAGGAGGCCTTGAGACCGCTACAAGGAGAGGCCAGACAACTCAGTTTGCAAAACAGGAACCTGGAAGACCAGATCTTGCTTCTGAGACAGAAACGGGATGAGGAGGTGAAACAGTACAGGGTAGGCCCACCAAGAATGAAGGAAACAAGGGTTAACTTGGAGAATGTAAATTTGAAGGGGATTTACATACTTTTAAGGTCATGGAGGAGGGAGCGTCTGTTTTCCACATATGTGGAAAACAGCTAGGGTTATTAAAACAGCAGGAGGGAGAGAGGTTAGATATCAGGGGAAAAATATATATATATATATATATGTTCCTGTTGGGATTGTTAAATGCTGTATTGAATCACTGGCAGAAGTTTTGGAATTTCCTGACCTGGAGATCCTGATGTGATTAGAAAACTAACAAAAATGGTACAGATGAAATTGAGTCTTGAGGCAGCAGGAAATGGGATGGGATAGGACACTAGGGGACTGGTGGTATCCAAGTAGTAGAGTTAGATAACATCTGGAGGTCCCTTCTAGTCTTGTGTCTATAAAGCACCTTCTACCATATTGTGCTAATTCAGTCAATCAACAAGCATTTAAGTGCTTATTACATGCAACGAACCATGCTAGGCCTTGGAGATATTAAAAAAAAGAAAAAAACAACCAGTTCCTGCCCTCAAGAAGCTTACATTTTAATGGGGGGAAACAACATGTATAAAAATTGGTACATACAAGACACATGCACAATAGATAGAAGCTAAAGGAGAAGCTTCACTCGTGGACCAAGAAAGGCCTTCTGCAGAAGGTGGCAATTGAGTTGAGTCTAGAAGGAAGCCTAGAATTCTGAGAGGAGGGACAGCATTACAGGCATGGAAAATAGCCAGTGAAAAGGCATGGCGAGAGGAAATGAAGTAAGTACCCTTTGCAAAGATCAGCAAGTGGGCCTATATGGCTGGATGATAGAATGCATGGAGAGAAGTAAAAGATAAGAAGACTGGAAAGCTAAGGGGCCAAGTTGTGAGTTTTAAAAGCCAAACAAAGATCATTATATTTGATCCTGGAAGTTTAACAGGGAGACACCAGAGTATATAGAATTGAGGTGGGGTGGGAGGAGAGTAGATATAATGTGGTCAGAGTCCCAGACTGACTGTCAGACCCACACTTTAGGAAAATCATTTTGGCAGCTGAATGGAAGATAGATCAGAGTGGGGAGAGACATGAGGCAGAAAGACCAATTAGAAGGTTATTGTAATATTGTAGTGAAGGCCTGAACTAGGGTGGTGACTGTGTGAATGACGTGAAATGAATGTACAAGAAATGCTGTAAAGGTAGAAACCATAGGATTTTGTCATTGATTAGATATGTGGCATGAGGGTGAGGAGTTAAGGATGACAACAAGGTTGTAAACCTGGATAACTAGAAGAATGGTGGTGCCTTCATCAGTAATAGGGAAGTTCAGAAAAGGGATGGGTTTTTTGTTTGTTTGTTTTTAGGTGTATGTGTGTATATGTGTTTTTGGGAGAGGATAATGAGTTCTGCTGTTAACATGTTTAGTTTGAGGTGCTGATGGGATATCCAGGTCAAAATGCCCAATAAGCAGTTAGTGATATGGGATTGAAACTCAGATGCGAGACTGGAGTTGGATATATAGATGCAGGAATCATTAGCCCCGAGATGATAACTGAACACATGGGAGCTGATGAAATCACCAAGTGAGATAGTAAAGAGCAGGCATTCTCATCATTTTTGGTGGCCATGGACTCTTTTGGTAGTCTATTGAAGCCTATGGTCCTTGTCTCAGAGTGTCTTTCAATAACTGAGAGATCTATTACATTTCAGTTAGAGATTAGTGAAAATAAGGATGTAATTTCTTCCCATCCAAGTTCACATACCCTCTGAAATCTATCCAGGGACATCTTGGGGGTGTGTGGACTCCAGGTTAAGAACCCCTACTATAGAGAAAAAGGGTGGAGTTTTGGGGGGTACCCATAGTTAGTGGCCATTACATGGATGAAAGTCCATTAAAGGAGACTGAGAAAAAATGGTCAGACAGGTAGAAGGAGAAATAAAAGAGAGTAGTATCAGAAAAACCCAGAACAGAGTACCCAGGAGGAGAAAGTGACCAACAGTGTCAAATGCTGTAGAAAGATCAAGAAGAATGATGACTACAAAAAGTCCATTAGATTTGGCAACTCAAGAGATCATTGGCTATGAAGAAGCAGTTTCAGTTGAATGAGATCATTCAGGTGGCAGAGTATTTAAAAAACAGTGCAATGAGAGGAAGCAGAAGCACAGAACATAGACAGCATTTTTAAGGCATTTAGCTGAGAAAGGAAAGTGGGATAAAGGAAGATAGTGAGCAGGGATGGTGGGATCAAAGGAGTTTTGGGTTTTTTTTAAGAAGGGGGGAGACATGGGTGTGTTTGTGGGCAGTAGGGAAGGAATCAGTAGATATGAGAGTGACAATTAGAGAGTGGGGATAATAGTGAGAGCAACTGAGTGGGGAAGATAGGAGAGGATGGGACAAGAATGCATGTAGAAAGTCTGTCTTGGAAGGGGAAGGGCCACCTCAACATCAGACACTGGAATTAAAGAGGAGATGATGGGCAGTGATATCAGAAAGAACGTGAAATGAGAAAAAGAGAAGTTGGCAAATAGCTTCCATTTTTTTTCAGTGAAATATGAGGCAAGATTCTTACATGAGGAGTTGGGGAGGTAGGAGGCCATGGGAGGATTAAGAGTGAAGAGATTTGGAGCAGTCACTATAGTGAGTGGGACAGAGAATCAATTAGGGAGAAATTGAAGGACTGCCTTGTTGCAATGGACCCAGTTGATATTAGATAACATAAATTTGTAATGGTCTTTTTCTCCTGAATTTCTTCCAGCTACCAGCAACATATGATTAAAAGAGGCAGAGGGTGGGAGTAATCCAGGTTTGGCAAGACATGATCAGTAACAGTTATCCGATAAAGGGGCTAGAGACTTGAGAGTAGCAGATAATAAACAGCATTTATATAATGCTTTAAGGTTTGCAAAGCACTTTACAAATATTTTCATTTTATCCTCACAACCCTGGAAGGTTGGTGCTATTATTATTCCCATTTTACAGATAAGAAAATTGAGGCAGAGAAGTTAAGTGATTTTCCCAGGGTCACATAGCTAGTAAATGTCTGAGGCTGAATCTGAACGGAGATCTCCTAGACCTCAGGTCCAGCACTTTATCCATTACTGCCATTATTAGCTGCCTCTAGGAAGGTGGAGAGTTGAATTGGTTCACCGACTCATTGAGACTGGGAAAGGAGGAAAGTGTAGCCAGGCTAGAGGCGATAGCCTGAGAAAGTATTAAGGGGTAGGGGGGTTTGGAGGTCACAATGAAGACCAAAAACAGGGTAGGGATCACATTGCAGAGGGAAGCTGGAATGGCAAAATGATAAAATTTCATGACAAAAGTTCATAAATTTTAAAGTGAACATTAGTGAGCAATAGCAGGTTCAAGGGTATGACCGTCCCCATGTGTAGCTGAAAGTGGAGTGGAAGAATAGGTCACAGAAACTAAGCAGAATGAGAACCTGGGAAGTTAGGGTATTTAAGTAAACATCAGTGTATATATAAGGAAGTCCTCTGGACTTCTGTATATAGGGAGTTGGGCTAGAGGGCAAGTCTAAGAGAGACACTAAACTCAATGAGGAAGGAGGGAATGTGGCCTGGGATTTGGTAATTGCCAGTGGGCTCTGGATTGGCTGATATATTTGGTTAGTGTGAACCTCAAAAGAGGAGAAATGATTAGTGAAGGTGGTAGGTAGAGTCTGAAAGTGGTATTGGGGAACAGAGAGTATTCCAGTTCCCTTACTATGAGCAATGAGTTGTGGAGTATTAAAAAGGTGGCCAGGTCTTAATGAATGCCAGAAGATGGAAGGAGAGAGGGAAAAGTTTCAAATGGAAACTAAGTTTAATTATGGAGCAGGTGTTCCATGGTGGAAGGGGCAAGCACATCTGGATTGGGACACTGAGGTGAACGGGAACAAGGCTGGAGTTGGGAGTTTCTATTTCGACAGCTATGAGTTCAGTATCATCAGAGAATGGGAAGAATATAAAGGGGCAGGAGTATGTTAACCAATGAAGAATTATACCAGGCATTGTTATTAGTGGGAGAGGATCATTAGGGTAATTAATTCTAGGACTGAGGACTTCTAGCCAGGCGATCTCAGGGCTCATTTCCAGTTGACCCCTGGAAAAGTTCAAGCTACCCAGCTCTTGGAAGGCTATTCAGAGCCAGCACCTTTTTCCACCCCTGCTGGAGGGGGAGCTGCATTACAGGAAATGCTAAAAAGAAGGGATATAGGTGTTGGATATACCTTGTCAAGCACAAGGTTGACAGCCTTCCAGTGAATTGTAGTGCTGACAAAAACTTCCTAGTTGATTTCTGCTAAATATTTCTTCCTGGCATCTGATATTTCAAGGCTACTCCTCCTCCCCATTGTAAACTCCATCTGCCTCTCCTATCAACTCCCCTATTTTATATGGGTGCTATCACCATCCTCCCAGTCATGAAACCTTTGCCATCCTAGATTCCTCCTCCTCTTTTATCATTCCTCCCTTTTCCAGTCAGCTGCCAACTCTTTTGGTTTCTACCTCCACATTGTCTCCTATCTCTCCCATCTTCTCCACTCCCACAGCCACCTTTATTATTTCAAAAAAATGGTTTTTTTTTCAATTCTGAATTCTTCTCCTCCCCCCGCCCATTCCCCACTCATTGAGAGGGTAAGAAATACTATACTCATTATACATATAAAGTCATGTAAAACATATTCCCACATTAGCCATGTTGCAGAAGGGGAAAAAAAGGCAAGAAAAATAAAGTGAAAGAAAAACATGCTTCAATTTGCACTCAGAGTTCATCAGTTCTCTATCTGGAGGTGGACGGTGGTTTTCATCATGAGTCCTTAGGAACTGTTGTGCATCATTGTATTGATCAGAGTAGCTACATCATTCACAGCCAATTGTCATTACAATACTGCAGTTACTGTGTAGATTGTTCTCCTGGTGCTGCTCACTTCACTTTGCATCAGGTCATTTCTTATCCCATTGCAATCATACGCCACAACTTGTTTAGCAATCCCCCAACTGATGGGCATCCCCTCAAGTTCTAACTCTCCTTCTTATTACGTTGCTTGGTGTATTACAGTAGCCTCCAGATTGGTTTGGGCTGTAATCGTGATGGCATCTATAATATAGACGCCAAAGTAATCTTCCTACCAGTATGATTACAGCATCACCTTGCTCAAAAAACCATTACAGGATAAAATTTAAACACCATATGCTTACATTCAAGGTCCTCCACCACCTGGTCCCAGTCTTATCTCACTACCTTTTATGCACTCTATGCTTGTGGCAAAGTGTGCTACTTGGCCGATCCCCTGTCTCATCTTGCCCTTTCCTACCTCTGCCCATTTACATAAGATTGTGGCACCTCCTCCCCACCCTAATCCCCAAGCCTGAGATGGTTTCCTCAGTCCCAACCTATCAAAACTCTTCAAGGTCCAGCTTATGTGTGCCCCGACTCACTCTTCATCAATAAGCTTTTACTGAATAGTCACATCTATGTTTAGTGCCCTAATGTCTATATTAGACATTGGGGGTTACAAAGGTGTACCACCTCTTCCATGCCCCCATCCTTAGTCTTCCAGTTAAAAGTGATCCTTCTCTCCATGAATCACTGGCCATTGTTTGACTTTCCTATGTATTTAATTATGACCTTCCTGTAAAGTCTTTGAAGGTTGTATTTTATCATTATCTCCTAGGTCTTGCACAGAGTAGACCCTTAGTACTTGTTGATTTGAATCATTCCATCAATAAGCATTTATTAATTAGTCTAGTCTATGTTTATGGCCCAGTGCTAGACCCTGAGGATAGAAGGAAGTGTAAAAACAGCCTCTAAAGGGCTTGAGTTTGGTGAGATAGAATACCTACAACGTGCCAAGTGAGTGGTTGATAAAAAGGATTTCAGAGACTGAAATAACATGGCAGGCCTAGGCAATTGCTTTAACTACTCACTGCAGGACGTGAATCAGACAAGGGTTGTGGGAGTAGTAAATATAAGCAACAGAATAAATACACATGGCACGTTCCTGAACAATGAATCAGTTTGGCTGGCTCAGAATAATTTGTGTAAAGAAGCACTGGAAAATAAAGGTCAGAGAGACAGGTAAGGGCTCAAACAGTGGAGAATCTTCAATGACAGACTAGTTTGAACTTTATCTTTTGGGTAATGGTAAGCCACAAAAGGCTTTTAAAACAGGTGGTGCTTTCATATGATAAATCTGGCAGCAGTGTGCAGGATAAATGGGAAGTGGCCCCTCACACTACGGGCTCAACTCTTCCTCACAATAAAAACTGTTTGTACCCTGAGGGCTCAGCCCTTTTGTCAATGATACAAGTTTCCTTCATCTGCACAATTGCTTTTGAAAGATATTCAAGTAGGTACACTAAGGCATAGGAAGAATCAGTACTCCATAGACTATTTAGACTAATGCTCCCTGACAGTTGGTCATTGTGCATGGATAATGTCAAGAATAACCAGATACTGAATTATAGCTTCTGGGATCCAGGCAAAATTCCTCTTCCACTCAACAAATACATTAAAAAAAAAAAATAGCCAACCACGTGTACTCTGCTGGAAAAGACAGAAAAATGAGACTCAGTTACTGCCCTTAAAGGGCGTATGTAGTAATGAGGTTTTGCTTTTCATCTGTACGGTAGGTACTTAATAAACTAGGTAGATTAACAATACAAATATTAATGAAATATGACATGTACTAAGTACGTAAGCGGGGTGTAAAGTGTTGACATCAGAAGCTCTCTCTTCCAGCTGGTGAGATTAGGGAATGTTTCTTGGAAGAAGGGAACATTTTTGCTGGGCAAGACATCAGTAGGCAGAGAGGCAGGTATTTCAGGGGTAGGACACAGCACGAGCAGATGCTCAGACATGGGAAAAGTATGGGGCAAGGAGAGAAGTGAAATGCTTTCCTGCTGTGGACTCACTGCGGTATCACAGGTGCAACATCAAGGATGACTCAAGACAGTAAATATTTTTGGCCCTTCTAAGAGTGAGATGTACCAAAGCTGAATTCCTGTTCCATTAGTCAGAGCATGTAAGAACAGGGAAAAGCCCAAGACAAATTTAGTCTAACCCCTTCACTTTTCAGAGGAAACTAAAGACCAGAAAATGGAAGCAACTAGGCTTCAGAGTCTGAGGAATGTGAAGTCATTGCCCTTTCAAGATACACCTTCTAATCCCAACTAGCCTGTGTCTGTGATCTGGACCAACAGCTAGACTGGTGAATGGCTGACAAACGCCTTACTTAATCACTTGGCAATGTATCCAGACTAAACTGACTTACTCAGTTGCCGCAGAGATCTGGCCAAGGTCTTAGTGTTATTTTATTACCATCAACTTATTTAATTCTTGGACAAATTCTCATATATCTCTGGCTCAGTAGAACATGGATATTGCCAATGAGATTCAGTTTCAGATGTTTGTAATCATCATCACTACCATAACCAAGTATTTATTAAGCACCTGATGGTTGATAATCCTATAGTGGATAGTAGACAGAGATACTGTCTCTCCTTTGTGGGCCTGAATTTTAAGAAAATGTTGAAGCCAACTGTAAGACCACTCAGATATCAGAACATACAAACAAAAATCACAGAATCTTAGAATTGGAAAGGATCAAAAGGGTCATCCAGTTCACTACCATACTTATATAGCTTATCATCAAGCAACAAAAACTCTCTTGCTGACTAGCCATTAACCAGCTGCCACTTAAGACTTGGGTACTAGTTTTGACTTTGTCACTAGCTAGCCATGTAACTCAGGCAAGTACCCGCCCTGTTCTGGGCCTGCTTCTTCATCTACAAAGTGAGGGAGTTGGATTAGATAATTTCTTAAGAATCCTTCTGTCCTTAACATTAAAAAAAAATTCCCCCAATTACAAATTGTACAGGTAAAGTATTGGAGCAATCAGGAGAGAGATAGCACCGAATATTTTTTTTTTTTTTAAATTTTGAGTTCAGATTCTGTCCTTCCCCTCCGTCCTCCCTGAGATGGTAAACTAATCTGATATAGGTTATACACTTGCAATCATGTAAAACATTTCCATATTAGTCATTTTGTGTAGGAAAACTCAAACCAAAAGAAATATAAGAGAAAAAGTAAAAAAGAATGTGCTTTGGACTGCATTCAGACACCATCAGTCCTTTTTCTGTAGGTGGATAGCATTTTTCATCATGAGTTCTTTGGGGTTGTCTTGAATCACTGTATTGCTGAGAATAGTTAAGTCATTCACTGTTAATAACTGTACAATATTGCTGTTACTGTGTGCAATGACCTGGTTTTTCTCACTTCACTCTGCATCAGTTCATATAAGTCTTTCCAGGATTTTCTGAAATCATCCTGCTTGTCATTTCTTACAGCACAATAGTATTCCATTACAGTCATACCACAATTTGTTTAGCCATTCTCCAACTGATGAGCATCCCCTCAATTTCCAATTCTTTGCCATCACAGAAAGAGCTGCTATAAATATTTTTGTACAAAACCTTTTCTCTTTTTAAAAATCTGGCAACACTGACCTATCAGTGGTATTGCTGGATCAAGGCCTATGTCCCTAACATTTCAAATCCCTACCCTCTTCCCAATTCAACAGAATCCTAACTGTACAATTAAAGATTATATTAGATCTAATGATCCTATCATCCCTGCTTTGGAATTAAAAAACAAAATAAAACAAAAAACTAGCTTCCAAAGATCTGGTCTATCAAGTCTCTCAGCACTAAGATTTTGAAGAGTTTATCACAGACCCTCTAAGACTTCGTTGCTGCCTCTCTTGCAGATGGAGGTCTGTGGAACACACAGTAGAGAAGCCAAGTGAAGACTGAAATTCATCCCTAGTCATGCTCCATAAGGAGTCTAGGAAATTGTGAAAAGCCCTCTCAAACTCTCTGCTACCCTCTCCCAGGTTCATTAGAAATTCTCTTGGCTCTTTCCTACAGGAACAGATGGAAGAAATGGAAGACAGACAGAGGCAATTGAAAAGCCGAGTACAACTCCAGCAGCAGAAGAACAAAGAGATGGAGGAGCTAAGGATCAGCCTCACTGAAGAGCTCTCTATTTATAAGTCAGTTTTTACTGCTACCCAAAATTTGTCCATACATGCAGGCTAAGGAGGTAGAAGAGGGAGGTAGTTCAAGGGGAGGTTTGTGAAGGATTGCTTTTTTTCAGGGGAATGATTTTTAAAATTCCTGTCGTCTGCCCTCAGATGAAAAATGGCTTTGTGTTTTTAAAGGGCTATGCTACCCAAGAAGGCAGAGCAGCTCGAGGCCCCCACTCCTCTGGGAAGTGGAATGGAGACACAGTCTCAAGGTGATCTCTCTGGTGAGAGAGCAGTGCTTGCATCCTCTGAGTGCTAAACAACTTAACTCTACTAGTCAGCTTTGGTTTGGCCCTAGAAGACTGTGTACTGATAAAGATGTTTTTCAGATCTTTGCCTCCAAGACACAGGCTTTCTAAACACACAGCTCAAGCCATTCACAACTGTGAGAAATGAGGTCGTGGTCCAAGATGCCCCCCTTTCTAACATAACTCACGTTATTTCTATTTGGTACAAAACCTCTCACAATTGATTTCTTTAGCTGGACAATGAAAGGCTTAAGAAGGAAAAAGTCTCCAGGTTTTGTCACTCTAAATGGTCTTCATCAGGCATACTGCTCCAGGGGAAAATAGCTAACGGACTAATTTTTTTCCACATTCACTAATCATAAAACTTACAGTGGCAGTGAGACAGAAGTTTTACCATCTAAGGTGGCAGAGTCACACGAATTAGTGTGACTGTGACAGTCATAAAAATATCACACAAGGTCAATATCATTCACAGGGCAAAGAACATAATATTTACTATCTGAGCCAACTGAGGCAGTCTGACATCAAGCTACCCATTTCTTTCCCAGTTGGTGGCAAAGTTCAAAAGACTGGGTTATATACGAGGATTCCAGATTTTGGTTAAAGTGGGAAAGCTGCTTATACTCTTCATACAGCTTAGGACTCAGTAAACAAGACACCCTGGTAAGAGAAGTATTCTGTAGCTGCCAGATCTGGAGTACCTTGCCTATCAAGCCATACAGAACCACTGCATGGTTCCAAAGCTCCAAAGTCCACGACTAGTCATTTTACAGCGCCCTAAACATAATTTTAAAATCTGGTTAATAAATCAGTCATCACTTGCTTTTTAAAAGAAAAAAAATCTTATCTGGAACTCCTTACCACCTGGTCCTAAAGTTGTTTCATTATTTCAGTCATTCTTGACAATTGCTCAGGGAGGTGGGTCAGTGACAGATTTCATTTCAGATGGAGAAACTGAGGCACAGAAGTCTCCTAACCAGTTTTGTGATTGGAACAAGTGTCAATACCATCCAATTCACTGTCTACTTAAGCTGACATACAATTTCAAAACTTAACTTTTTGATGCTTTTCCTGACCCAGACTTGTATACAAGTATATATTGTTTTTGGAAGAAACCACTTGTGCAGTTCCCATCACCAAAGAAGGTGATCTAGTGAACTAATTTAAACTAGAGGTCATTAGTGACATTTTATTATATTACACAACTCTATCTGCATTTCAAGAACACAAATAAGAAACTAAGTTAATCCTAAAAGAATTAATTGCTAATGGTGGCAGCTGGATGTCTTTTGCTGAACACCAGAGGCCAATTTACAGGTAACGACGGATGGCTTTTCATGGAAACCTAACACAGCACCCCCTAACTTTAATACACAGAGCACTAACATCTTCACAGATTCTGCGGTAGTGGGGTAGGCCAATTTCATCAGTGTAGGAAGTCCAAGGGTGGAAACTCCCTCTACTAATGTACACTGGCAACTTCAGTCTTAAAAGAATTGCTTCAGTGGTATTTCACTACATTATATTTGTTTGTACAGAATATAATCTAAACCTGCCTTTCTTTCTACTTCACAGGAGCTGTTTAGAAATCTATGGCCGACTCTGTAACCCAGAAACAAAAGACAAAAGCTCTTAGCGAAGGAGCACTAAAGCCTCATTGGACATTTTTTCTTTTCAACATAAAAGGGAATACGAGGGACCTGGTAAAATGCTCCATCCTGTGAAAGGCGTAAGCATTGGCCTATCAGTTTTAAAGAGATTTGCTGCCCTCCCTGCCAGAAGCAGAATACCAGGCAACCTTCAGCTTGTTGGGCATAGAGCTTATTGCACTGAAGAATGGAAGCACCTGCTGCCCCCTAGCAGACTCATGTGCACGCTATGAAAAGGACACACCAACGGTGACCAATGTATGCCTTGCAGTGTTATGAAGCAGAAATTGTTGCCTTACTTTGATTCAAAGCTCGAAGCCTTTGTAAGGCAGAGCAAATGTCAACAAGGCAGCCCATTTTAATTAAGTGGAGTTTTAAAGTTTGATTTACCTGTGCCACAAGTGTCTGACTTTAAATAGAAGTTTTTCTTAAAGCTAAGCATTTATAAGGGTGCTGTGGGCTCCAGTAGTTTTGTTTCCTTATTCATATCAATAGTTTCCACTACACAGCACACATGTGTCATCCTGAAAACAAGGGACCAATTGAAGTTTTCAAACCAAAATATTTAAAGCCATTTGGACTTTCACAGAATTTTAGTCTCACGAAGACTACTGTGGTATAAGACGATGTACTTGGCTACTAAAAGAGGTGGCCAAGTACCTGGAATACTATCTGGTATTAGGTCTTGAAGAGTAAACCTTTCACAGGCCATTATCACTAACCTGTAAGTACAAGTCTGACTGGGGAAAAAAAAAACCAATACATTATAGGAAGGGCCAACCTCTCCTTTTCCAAATTTAAAATTTCTCATGGAACTCTCTCTATAACAGTCTCTAATATTCTTGAAGACCCATGTATTTATTTAGAGAAGGATGAGCAATAAACTTCAAAACAAAAAGATGACAACATTCTATGAGAATAATGCAGGCCCTGCTGATACTTTGTCTGATGTCTCTTCATTTACATCTATGAAAAACTAAGTCTTTTTCTGACAAACTGATATTAGCTTTACTTTTGTTCATATCTGTCAGGCTCTAGTACTTGATGAATTCTGGGTATAAAATAAAAACCCACAGCAATTTTTATGTAGAAAAACAATTTATTCCATCATAAGCACTTACAGTTAGTCATGGACAGTAACAGGCTGCTGGTTGGACAAGTTACCCCAAAGGATATAAAACGAGTGGTCAAGGACTAATTCAGTTGGTGTGGGGTTTGTTGGAGAAAAAAAAAAATTTTTTAAAGAAAGGAAAAAGGAAAAAAAAGAAGTCATCCAGAATTTTAAAGCTCATGTCAGCTACCAATTGTTCTGTTTTCAGATTACTGGGTAGTCTACCAGTAGTATATCTGTCAGATAAAAACACACCTTCTTTATAACCTGGTGGTCCCAAGTTAAAAAAAAATTCACAGAAAGTAAAGAAATAATACGAAAACAGCTCAAGAAATATACTAGAGAGCAAAACTATATGAGGTGAACAAAGATATTTTGCAGGTATAGCTACAACATTTCACATGGCTGTTTGTCCCCCATAAGATGAGAAGTGAAAGGAGGAAGTAAACAGTCACTAGGGAAGAAAAAAAAAACCATTAAATAAAACAAAAAAAATTTCAATAAGAAATTTTGACTGGTTACAGAGGAAACCAGCAGGAGTAGGCCAGTCTACAACAGGGATGATCTGTACCCTAGAAGGTTGGTTAACCATGCCAATTTTAGTCTTTGAATCTCTACAAACAAAGGAAACAGTTCAGACGTCCTACAATGCTAATACCTCAGTGGCTCAGACTCCTCACTTGGATATAAATCCTACCCCATTCTAATTTTACTTAAATTAGCCTGAAAAACTTGCAGTTATAGCATAGGAAGAAAAATAAAACACTCATGGTCCATTTCTTGGGGCTATATCAGATTTGAGAGCTGGATTTGCTCATAAAAAGTTCTTGGAAAAAAATTAAATATGGGTCTGTGGCTCTGCTGAGTCAAGCCCCCCCCCCCCCCCCCCCCCATAGTTAATAGTAAGAAATCATTCACTCTCTGGGTTAACAGATACCTACAGATGAATGTCTGGACAAAAAAAGTCTGTCTCAAAACCAGTGTTATCAATCTCAGGTTGGGAAGAAAGGGGAGTCTAAAAATCAGCACCAGTGCAGACATGTCTAGGACCCCTGTCCCTCTGGATCCACGCTTCCTTCAGGGTCTTCATCATTGTATATGTTCTCAGCCTGCCCCAAACAACAACAAAAGTTAGAGCATTGAGGGAATATAGGATTTTCTCTAAGACAAGCTTCCTACTGAAATGTATCAGGTTATTTTTATAAATGTGAGCTTCACCAATTTCTTCCAGATAACCAATACCTTCAAACCTATTTATTTTTACAGGTACTACTCTAAATCCCAATTTGTAAACCAGGTAAATCAGGAGGTGCTCATCTGTATCCCAGAAGGACATACTCTGGGGCTCCTTTACATTGAAAGCACCCCCATTTCATGTTATAATCAAATTGAATTAACCTTCAACTTTTAAGGGACACACTGACTAGATAAAGCAAGGCATAACTCTTTAATAACCAACCACATAAAACTAGGGCTATAATCCACACAATGAAAAGTACTAAAGCTACTCAGGAGTTTTATTTCACTATTAAATGGTGTTTCAGTACATTAATAGGACACTGCAACTTAGTGTGCTTACTATAACAATGTTTTCCAAGGTTTTTCGGCAATGCTTTCATTAGTTTTCTCAGAAGCAGAATTATCTGGATTGAGACATTAGAAGTTCTGGCCAAGACTACAAAGTGTGTCAGTGGAAAAGCCTAGAGAATAAATCCCAATCTTCCAGCTTTCTGTCTCTAGCTACTAGACAGATGACGGACAAAAGGTTTTATAAAGACAAACGTATACTTCAGTTCACCTACCTTGCCAATCTACCCACTTCCCCCCTCCCTATTCCCCATCCAAGAGATTGAAAAGCACTCACCATCTGCCAGACCTGCATGATATTGTCTTCTGATACAGAACAAATAACCCAAGGTTCATTGGGGTTCCAGGAGAAATCTGATATCTTGGCAGTGTGACCACCATGAATAAACTGAGAGAAGGAAAACTCGATATTAAAAGCCAACAGAACCCAATTATTAGTTAGTTCAGAGTACTCTGACTACAGAAACCTACCAATAACTCTGGTGGCCCATCTTCTGCATCTTCAGGTGACTGCTCTTCTCCAATTTTACTGCAGGAAGAAAACAAATTAAAACAAGCTTCACATCATACAGACATGTAAATGGAAATCTATTTGGATAAAAATTGAAATGACTTACCTCAAGTCCCAGACATTTAGCCTGCGGTCAGTGCCACTGGAAGCTAAGATAGTTTCATTGTGGGGAGACCACTGTACCTGAATTGAGGAAAGAAAGAAGTAGGAAAGATAAGAACTGAAAGCTTGGTGGGGGGAAAAATCTCAAGTTTTCTAAATATATATATATATATTTTAACAGAAGAGTAATGGAGATTTTAAAATTAGGTCATAGGATTTTAGAGTTGGAAGGTACCTTAGGGGTCATGTCATCTAACCTCCTCATTGTACAGAAGGGAAAAATGAATCCCAGAGCAGTAAAGTGATTCTTCCAAAGCTATAAGAATAGTAAATGGCAGAAGTGGCATTTGAACCCAGATCTTCTGATTCCAAAACAAGGTTTGTTTTTTAAAGTACTTACACATCTGAGGTCCCCTCCCCTACCCATACCTTTCCAGTCTTATAACACATCATTGCCTTTGTTCTTTAACAAGTTTTTTATCAAACACTAAAATCAAGGCCCTGTGCCACATGTTGGGGATACGAGAATGAAACAGAGTTAAGATATGTACAGAAAGAACTATAATAAAAAGAAGAAATCCAAATTAAGTGTTAGAAGAAATCTGAAGGAGAGACCTCCTAGCTGGAGGAATCTAGGAAAGGCTTCATAGAAAAGATAGCCCTGGTGTTGAACCTTGAAAGGAAAAATTTGGACAGATATCTGGGAAGCAGTTTGGGGATAGTAGCCAGTTTAAAACTACAAAATGGCTACTAAAGAAAAGAAAGTTCAAGCATAAGTTCTCAAAGTGCGGTCCATGGATCCCAAAAGGGCGTCCACGAGGTCAAAATTATACTTATAATAACACTGACATTATTTGCCTATTAAAATACTCTTCCCCTTTCCAAGTACACATCTTTGTGAGGCTGGATTTTCTTCACATACTTCAACCAAAACAACATATCAAAACAGATTAAACGTAGACGCAGATATGAGAATCCAGCTGTTCCCAATTAAGCCAGACATTTGCAAAAATATGTAAAACAATGCCATTCTTCTCACTCATTTTTTAAAAATATAAAGCATAAAACTGCACTAAGAATGCCTTGCAAAGTTATTTTTCATTAATAATGTTACTTATGTTAGTATGTCAAGGGCTTATTGTTGTTTTTAAATGAATAAGTATTTAAAAATGTTCAGTTTTAACCTCCAATATGGTAAATACAATAGACAAAAACCCTTATAAACTTTGAGGTCGTCAATAGTTTCTAAGAGCATAAAGGGTTTTGAGAACCACAGTGTGAAAGTAACTTTACATGAATGGTATATTCAATCAAACTCTAAAATTACAAGCAAACTGTAGTAGTGTTTAAGACTCAACTAAGCAGATCATTCCAACAAAATTTAGAGACGGAATTGGAAGAACAAC